GCGGAGAGAGGGCGCGTAAGAGGGCGTGGCGAGGGAGGGGGCGTCAGCGCCGCGGGGGAGCCAGGAGACGCAGCCGTCGAAAAGGTTCAACAACGAAGCTGCAGGTAGCTCTGTGCAGCTGGGCAATTTTGAGTGAACAGATCTGACCACATACGGTACGCACACAAAAGGATACGCACATTCATACACACAGCTGCATGCTTACGCACCCACATGCACAGACGGACACGCGCGCCCACCCTCCACACACCCCACCCCGGCCAGCGGGCCCTCACCCCGCCTCTGGCTTGTCGTCCACTATCCACTCAGCGTCCTCCCGAGGGTCCAACCCCGGCGGCAGCTCCCGGTCAACCTCGTTGACCACCACCACGGGCAGCCGCTCCAGGCCCTGTTAGCAAGAGCGATTGAGCAGATCAGCAAATCAGCAATCTGGCAAATGCAACCCCGGCCGCTCTAGGCCCTGGGGTTGTGCACGCAGCCGGCCGTGTCAGCATTGGCCACGGCAGTCAGCAGGCCGGGTCGGCGCGCGAAGGCGGCACGGGCGGGGCCGCGGGGGCGGCGGCGCAGGCCTGTCTGCTCGTGCCCAGGCCGAGTCAAACGGTTCACATGACTTGCGGCGCAAGGTTCGGGAAGGGGGGGGGCAGGAGCAAACCCCGCAGCAGCGCGTGCCATCATTCAAACCCCAGATAAATTAATTAGTGGCGCAGGCGCGTTCCGCTCTGAAGTTTTCCAGAGCTTCTCTCCCAATTGTGATCAGCTTTGGCCAGCACGCTTGCCATTGAGCCACTCTGTAGGCTCCAAGAGCGATTCGCGGTGCAGGGGTGCGCCCAGCAACGAGCGGGCGCGCCCTGGGGGCCGCGGCCGCGCCAGCCGCCGCACCTTTGAGAGGTCCCTGCAGACGACGTTGGGGCGGTTCCTGAGGGACGCGTCCGGCGCCGCGCTTATCACACCCCCGCCAAAGCCCTGGCCAAAGTTGATCTGTGGTTGATGGGAAGGAGACGTGCGTTCGCGGGGACAGCGCAGTCGAAGCTTGCGACGGAAGGGCGCCGACTCATTGCCTTCGCAGCTGCAGGGGCACGCGTTGCACCCCGCAAGGAGAGCATGACCCGGCACCGGACTGACCTCATTGACAGGGCCCAGCGCAGCAGGGACGCATCACACGGGTCGCAGGCGGCGGGGCAAGGCGCGGCGCGGTGCAAGGTGGGATGGGTGACGGTTCCGGGAGCAGGGGTGGGGGCGCGGCCGCGCGCACCGGCTTGGAAATGCTCTCTGGCTGCCCGCCGCGGCGCTTCAGGAGGTAGCGCCAGACCACGTGGCCGCCGCGGCCCTTGGACTTGCAGTACGACACCTGCAGGCGGCGGGGGGAGGCGCACGGGGCGCGAGAGGGCGGCCAGGGCGACGGCCGGGGCGAGGGATGGGCGGTGCACGAGGGGCGGCCGCGGGCGCGAGGGCGGCGGCGCGAGCGAGGGAAGGACAGCTGTCGGCACGGCTGGCGCGCCGCGGCTGCCGGAGCGGCGGGGGCGCTGCGGCTTCTCCGAGCGCGCCGCCGTGCCGCCCCGCGGGCGTCGCCCGCACAGCAGGCGGCCCATGATCCCCTGCCCTTCAAACAGCCCACGTAGCCCGGGGAGAGACCGGCGTCGCCCTCGCCTCCACGCCTTTGCGCCCCTTGACGCCCACCACGCTGTAGAGGCCGTCGTACACGAAAATGGCGCCGGCAAAGGATCCGCTGTCCAGGTTCTTGCGGGTCACGCGCACGGGGACGCCTGCGCGGGAGCGGGGGGTGGGTGGGGGCGCGGAAGACGGCGGGGGTCTCAGTATGGGCACACGGGGAGCTGGGGGTTCAGGGGGCGAGGGTTTGGGGCAGCGCACGAGGACGCCAGTGGAAGAACAGGCAGGGGGAGAGACCAGGAGTTGGGAATTGGGGCGCGGAGGGCTCAGAGGAGAGGGGTTGCGGCCGGGCTGTGGGGTGGGAGCGCGGGTGTGCCCGCAGCACGCGAGCGCGCCCCGAGAATCGCGGCTGCGGGGCCTGCGCAACGGCATGGCCGCCGCTGGGGGCGCCGCGGCGCGGGGCAGGCGGTCCACCAGGGCTCACCCAGGGCAATGTTGGCCAGAAGCGCGCGGTTGCTGCCGCACAGGTGCTGCAGAGGGCAAGGGGGCGAGAAAAGGCGCAGGTCGGAGCGTCGCGGCGGCCGGCCGCCCGCTTCCTTGCGGCAGCGTAAACCTCACAACTCTGCGGCGGGCATCCATGACTCTCAAGATCACCGCGCCTTTGGCCGCCACCAGTCTTGCTGGCATAAAAGGTAACAAGCCTTGGTCCCCAGCAGGGTTGAGAGATCTCGGTGCCGCGAGATCTTGCAGGGTGAGTCGCCGTCGGCGGCCCCAAAGCGGCGGCCCCGCACCTGGTCCGCCTCCTGCCGCCTGTTGCCCAGCAGGTCATTGCCGCCCGCGCCTGCGGCGGCGGGGGGCGGGGCGGGGTGTTGAGGCATAGAGCAGCCCCAGCTGTCGAGCGCAGGGTGGGGGGGGTTCTGTCGAGGCCGGGCACAACCACTGCTCAACTCCATCCTGCACACTCCTTGTCCGCACCTCTCCCACAACCCGATAATGCACCCTGCCCTCGACGCCCGTCTTGCCACGGACGCCCTTGGTTCCCTCGCCACCAAAACCCCGGCCTCACACCTTGCTCACGGCGTGCGTTCGCGCGTGCGCTGACATTCCTGGTGGCGCGGCCGCCCGCGTCCCAAGCGCTCAGACGGTGGCCCCACCCGCCTTGCGCCCCGGATGAGTCCAACTCGCTGCCCCACTGCGCATGAGGAACCCAACCCGGTGCGTGGCGCCGCCGCCCGCCTCAACTCGAGCTCGACCGGCTGCCCCACAGCAGGCGTGCAAGAACCGAGAAAGCAGCCCACCCGTGTAGACGAGCTCGTCGATGCCGTCGCTGTCGTCCTCGTAGGACCCGCTGACCACCACACTGCACACCACAGCCACCTCCAGCTTGCCGCCCGTCGCGCGCTTCACCTGCGCTCACGCGCGCGTGCAGCCGGGCGGGGGGAGGTTGCCGCGAGTGCGCAGGGTCGGAGAGAGAGAGAGAGAGTGTTGGCAGAGGCGGGCGGGCGGAAGCCGGGGCCGGGATCGCCGCGAAGCAGGGGCGAGCGGGCGGGCAGGTGCTGCCGACTGCCAGGAGCCATTCTTGCGGTGGGGCGCGGTTGCTTCCGGCCGCGGCCGCCCGAGGGCCCTCGCGGCATGGTGGCAGCGGCAGGGTGCGCCCTGGCCGGGGGAGCCGCACCGGGGCGCGCCCCGTGCTTGCACTGCCCGCGCCGCGCCCGCGCCCGCGCGACCTGCGCCGCGCGCCCCCCGCCAGACGCCCCGCGCCCCGTCCCCACGCCGCCGCTGACCTCGTTGGCGGGCACGGCCACGATGCCGGCCAGGGGCGAGCGGTGCAGGCCCACCACCAGCGCCTCGCTCCGCAGGAACGCCCTGGGGGGGGGGGGCGGGGGGTGGCCGGGCGGCGCGTGGGGTGCACAAAAGGCGGGGTTGGATGAGGGTGCACACAAGGCAGGGTTGGATGGGGTTGAGGGCGCGGCTGCGGCTGGAGTCAGAGTGTATGGGAGGGGCCTAGAGCTGGTGGCACAGGGTTGTGGCATGATGCATGGCCTGCGCGTGGCTTTCGGCCCCGCAAGTGTGCAGAGTGCGCGCCGGCTGTTTGTTTCAGTGGATAGATTGTATGCCGCCCGCGGACCCCTCTCCGAGCAAGAGTGGGATCGCTCACTTGAAGCCGACGGGGATGCCGGGGACGTGGCCGAAGAGGTGCTGCTGGTTGACCGCGCGCGGCTCCTTGCCGGCCACGCGGCCCAGCATGCTGCTCTCCGCGACGCGGTCGGGGCGCCGCGACAGCGCCTTGCGCGGCGGCGGCCGCTTGCCCTCCGCCTGCGACGGGGGGCCATTCCGAGCCGAGGCGGGGCGAGCGTCGTAGGGTCAATCTTTTGGTTGCTGTGTGTCAATGTGTGTGTGTGTGTGTGTTGGCGTGTGCATAGATTTTTGTGTGTGTGTGTACATGTGTGAGGGATGTGTGGAGCACACACACAAGGTGCGCAGACAAGCTGCTGCGCCGCAAAATGGGCCCCCATCCCTGCGTTGTGCACTGAGGCGTCGCGCGCACCGCACGCAGCCGCGCCGCGCGCGGCTGCCGCACGCGGCGGCGACGCGCGGCGCTGCCTCATGGGGGGGGGGGGTTTCAGGGCCGCGCCTCACCCTGAGTGCCTCGTCCTCGTCATCGCGCCGCCTTTGCTCCCGGGCCACCCGCTCGTTCTCAGTGGTCACCGCCTTGGCGCGGCGGGCAGTGCAGCGGGCGAGGGGCAGCTCGCCACGGCTCGGCGGGCGGGCGGGCAAAGGGCGGCGCCGCCTTGCGGCCCCGAGGCGCTCGAAGACATTGACAGCTGCCCCGCAACCCTCACGTTCTGTGCCACAAGTGATGCAGCCCATCGCAGCCCGCCAGCCGTCCCCCGCCCTTCCGAGCACTCCCCTGCAGGCCGCCCCGCCCTAGGTGCCCCACCCACCAGGCGCCACTCGCGGTAAAAGTGGTCGTGCGCCACCTGCACCGCGCGCGCCGCCGCCTCGCCGCCGCCGCCCCCCTCATCCAGGCACACGGGCAGGCCCAGCGCGCGGTACGGCTCCTGGCCCTCTGGGTGCACCTGCGAAACGCCAAGTTTGTTTACGTGCTTTGGGGTGTTGCGATGAATAAATCAAACAACATGATCGAGAGCACAATGCCGACAGCGACAGCCACGCGTGCTGCCAAAGGCGGCGCCGAGCGCGCGGCTGCGACGCGACCCAGCCGCACCCCTCCGCGCCGACGCAGCGGCGTGCAGAAGGTTCGCCGAACAGAACCCCGTTGCCTGCCGCGGGCGCACGGGCCAATTAATCAACCCCTACTCCCTGCAGCCGCATCCCCTGTCCCGCCTGCGCTGGCCGCCCCGCACCTTCTCATTCGCCTGCAGGTGCTTTTTCAGGGCCTCCTCGCTATCAAAAGACAGCGTCTCCAGATCATCCCCGTCCACCTGCCACTCGGGCGCATCCTGCCCAAACACCGCCGCCGCAAGCTCCTCCGAGATCCCCAGGCCGGCCGGCGGCGCGTTGGTGTTGTGGCGCCGCGCGTCGGCCGCGGGCGCGGCGGCCGCCTGCTTGGTGTGCGGCCTTCGCCCCCCTTGTGCGGCGGCAGCGGGGCCGGCGGAAGGCCGGCGGGGGCGCTTCGCCACCGGCTGGGTGCGCGTCGCAGGTTTCGCCGCTGCCGAGGTGCCGCCGCGTGGCTTGGGTGCCTGCTGTTGCCGCTGCTTCTGCTGCTGCTGCCGCTGCTGCCGCTGCCGCGGTGCCGCTGTCTGCTGCTGCTCTCTGCTGCCGTTCCCATTCGCCGCCGCTTGCTCCTGGCCGGCCGGTGGAGCCCTCTGCTTCCGCTTCCCTGGCTGGGCCTCTCCCCGGCCCCGCTGCTGCTTCCCATTGCCCGCTGCTGCCGCTGCTGCCGCCGCTGCTGCTGCTGCTGCTGCTGCTGCTGCTGCCGCAGCTCCCTCTGCTGCTGCCCCTGCTGCTGCTGCTTCTCCTGCTGCCGCCACATCTCCCTTACCGCCTGCGCCTTCGTCCCTGCCCCGTTTCCTGGCCTTCTTTTCCCTCGCAGCACCCGCCGCCTTTGCCTCGACAGCCGCTGCCTCGGCTGCCGCCATCTGCGGCGCCGCCAACGCTGGCGCAGTCGTCGCCGCTGCATGTGTTGCCGCCGCCACCGCCGCTGCCGCCGCCTCTGCCACGCCTGTAATGGCGCCTGCGCTTGGCCCGCCCGCGGCCTTGGCTGTCCGCCCCGATGTAGATTTGCGTGCGAATCCAGACCCACCCACCGTCTTCCTGGCCGTTTCTTTGTCCGTCTGCGCGGCCTGCTGTGTCTCTGTCTGCTGAACGCCGGCGCCCCCTTTTGCCGCCGCCGCAGCAGCCCGCACTGCAACTGCAACCGCAACCCCTCCGCCCCCGCCGCCACCGCCGCCGCCGCCCTGCTGTTCCATGGCCGTGCCGCCGGCCCCGCCCTGCAGCGGGGCAGGTAGCGGCTTTGACAGCGGCGCGGACCGCGGCCGCTTGGCCTGTTTCAACTGGTCTGGCGCGGTGGCGCAGTCGGCGCCGCCGGCCGGGCCGGCGCCGCTCGACCGGGCGTCGGGCCGCTTCTGTTGGACGCGCACGTTTAGGGTCGGGGCAGCGGGCAACGAGGGGTCAGCGTTGGTGACCACCACTCCGATGGCTGACACATGCTGCGTGCTTCAAAGGCTGCTGCGTGGCGCTTCTGCAGTCAGGGCGCCGGCGGGCCCGTTGCCAGCAGCTCCCGCCAGCGGCTGCCTCCAGCAGCAAAGCGCGCGGCGCCGCCTCCCTTCCCTCACACCCCTCTTGCAACAGAACCCTCCGCCTTGTGCACAAAGCAGCCCAACCCACCTTGCTGCCCGCATGGCTCGTCGGCTTCTGGGTCAGCGGGTCCCTCTTATCTCCACCCGCTGCGTCCTCATCCCCTGCGAGTGCGCGGGCGGCGCAGCAGTGCCGGGGTCCAGCTTGCGCAAAGCGCACGGCAACCTGACACCCCCGACGCGACCCCCTGCCGTGCGCACCGGCCTCCTCGGCTCTGCTCGAGCCGGCTCCGCCGCGCCACCCTGCGGCCCCCACTCGAGCGTGTGCCGGCGTCGCAGAGCGTCCTCATCCGCTTGATCCTCTGACAGCGGTGGGCGTGCCCCGCCCGGCCGAAGCCTCCAGCGCCGCGGGCTGGCCGGCTCACCTGCGGCGGCCGCGGCGCCGGCCCGCTCTTGCAGCAGGGGCTTGACCTCCCTCATGCTCAGCTCCTCCTCGTCCCCGTCGTCATACTGAACCTTGAACCTGGCGGCACCAGCCATTTTTGCAGGGCAGCCCATCACAATCTGGCTAACGAGCTGACGGCGTGGATGCTGAGCAGGGTGCGCGGCTGGACCGTGCGTCTCGGCCAGCCGTGCGTCTCGGCCAGCCGAGACGCGGAAGCTGGCGCGGCTGGCCGGCGCGTCAGCTTTAGTACGCGGGTGACGAGCGCTCGCGCGGCCGCGGAGGGGCGTGCGCGGCACCGCATCCACCCAGGCTGCCGCGCGCGGGTCGCGCGTCCGCTCCTGCAGCGTGCCCGCCGCCGCCGTGCAGCTTTTGCTTGTTGCAGTTGCCGATCTGCGTGGCCTGCTCACCAGCGTGGGCCCTTGGCGTAAGATGTGATAGTGCCCAGGTACCACCCCGGGGGATCGCTGAAGTACTTTCTGACGCGCCGCCCGACCAGCTGCTGCGGCTGGGCCGCCGCCATGGGAGCCGCTTGCGGTGAAGCTGGCAGAGCGGGATTGGCGGGGCGACGCGTGCGGTGTTGTGAGGGGCAACTACTGCGGCGGACGGTGTGTCGGAGCTGACAGGTTGTCACCAGCAGTGGAGTGCCGCGCCGTTCGCTGCGCAGCTGGCAACACCTGCACCAACCGACTCAGAATAGCGCGGTGGCATATCAACCAGCCGCGTGCACTAAGGAGCTGCATTGGACAACTCACACCTTACGTGAAAGGGCTAGCACAATGGGTGGCGTCTGATCTGTGATACGCGCTAGGTGTTACACATCTTGAAACTGCGCGAATACAGGCGCGCAGTATACATAATCTATCGACATGCAGGTGTATCTTTCACTCGCGATCAATTGTGATCGGGCGCATTTGGCGGGAGTTTGGCCGTAGTACTACCAGGCTTCACACCACCCGCCGCCAGCCCGTATGACCCCAATTCTCGACATTGAGGAATAACTCAGGAGAGCCACCAACCACGGATTGCAGTTGGGCTGAAGCAACCAAACCCCCACCTACTGGAGAGGCTGCTGCACCGATCAGCCGGGGATGCACTCGGTATCATTTGCATATATGACTCGCCCATTGCTGCTCCCATGTGTTGCCGCCCTGCCTGGATCACTCGCACTGGTGCGTATCTGTAGGGCTCAGGGTGCGGCACAACTGGGCAACGGCACTGTGGGTTGGCAATTCAAGGGTCTAAGTGCCCGCCGCCTTTGCGTTCACCTTTTTGTACTGCTTTCACTGGGTTTTCAGGTCGGCCGGGTCGCCTGGCTGGCAGCGCGGTTGCACATGCCCGCTCTCTCTCGCTCTCTCTCGCTCTCTCTCTCTCTCTCTCTCTCTCTCTCTCTCTCTCTCTCTCTCTC